CAGATTTTTTTTCCCTGTTTATTTGAGACAGGGTCTATGCAGGTCAGGCTGACCTTGAACTCACTGTGTAGCTCAGGTTGGTCTTGAACCCAGCAATCCTTCTGCCTCAGCCTCCCGAGTGTTGGGATTATAGACATGAACCATCACACCTGGCTCTAAATATGTTTTAAGAAAATTTATTTACATCTGGGTGTGGTGATGTACGTCTGTAATCCTAGCATTTGGGAAGCTGAAGCAGAACAATGGCTGCAATTCGAGGCCAGTCTGAACTGCATAGTGAGACCCTATCTCAAAAAAAGAAAAAAAATTTATTTACACATTTCCTTCCCCTAGCTTTGTAAAATCTCTTTTGAACATATATGGAAGCATTATATATTTGAACAGTATGTCCTATGATCTTTTTTTTTTTTTGAGACAGGGTCTCACTATGTAGTTGAGACGGACCTGGAACTCCCTATGTAGTCGATACTGGTCTCAAACTCACAGCAACCCTCCTGCCTCAGCCTCCCAAGTGCTGGGATTACAGGCGTGCCCAGCCATGCCCAGCCTTGTCCTATGATCTTATTTCATAAGTGATACGCATATATTTGTTTCTCTCTGCATAGAAAATGAAGCTAGCCATACATACAATATGTGTAAATGATGATTGTCTATATGTTATTGTTTTACTAGAGATTTTATTCCATAATAACTTTTTTGTATATTCTATCTATTTTATGATCAAATAAAGCTTTTTGAAAAGGTGTTTTTAAGGTCCACATTTTTTCAGAAAATAATACTTTCAAATTTTACATCTTAGATATAAATTAGTTTTGTTGTTTGTTTGTTTATTTGTTTGTTGTACTGGGGATTAAACTCAGGGCTTTGTGCTTAAGAGTTGGGGCAGCATCACTGAGCTAAATTCATGGCCCAAAAAAGTTCTATGTTTTTATCAGATAAATACTTGGAGGTTAACTACATAAAATCTGTGATTCAGCTGATACACTGTTCTCTAGAAGAGGCTTAATGAGTGGTTCTTAAATTCCAGATTGATACAATTAGTATTCATGGAATCGTTTTAAAGAAAAGATGATAAAATGTATTAAATTGTATAAACTAATGTTATCTTACAACTGTTGCATCAGAACCCATTCACTAAATGTGGGCATTAAGAAACTGGTCATTCTTGTAACACCTAGTAAGCTTCTGTTTTTGTTTAAAAGCTTGCATTACTTTGGTTCCCTTCTCTGAATATATTGTTTTCTCCTATTATATCTCTAAGTATAAATGTACATTTTGGCTTAGAGTGGTAGCTAAGGTGGGTTGTTTTAAAAGGGCAGCGGTAATGTTAAAATTTCTCCAATTACTCCTGTGAAGTGTGTCATTTTGATTTTTTTCAAAGCATGGGCCAACTATGAAGGAAGAATTGGCAAGAAGACAGTTTGTTACCAGTGGAATTTTTGTTATTTGTTTGAAATTATATTAATATATATTACCGATCAATGGGTCTCTTTTTCACATATTTATACATGCTTATAACATGTTGATCACTTTCACTCCCTTATTACTCCCTTCTCCTTCCTTCTGCCCTTCCTTTCTTCCTTCCCCTCCCCCTTCTCTAATCATCTCCCTACTTTCCTGCAATTTTTTTTTTTTTTTTTTTTTAGACTCAACATATAAGAGAAAACATGCAATATTTGACTTTCTAAGTCTGGCTTTACATGATGATCTCCAGTTTCATCCATTTTCTTGCAAGTTACATGATTTCATATTTTATGGCTGAATAATACTGTATTGTATATGTATTTTCTTTTATGCAGTCTTCTGTTGGCAGGACACTGGATGTCTCCATAGCTTTACTGTTGTGAATTATGGTGCAATAAAAATGAGTATGCAGGTGTCACTATACTAGGGTAACTTTAATTCTTTTGAGAATATACCAAGGAGTGATATAGCTCATAGTTCTATGTTTTAATTTTTCGAGGAACCTCCATACTGATTTCCATGGTGACCATGCTAATTTACATTTCAACCAACAGTATAGAAGGATTCCCTTTTGCCTGCATTCTCCCCATCATTTCTTGTTTTTTATATTCGTATTGATAGCCCTTCTCACTGGAGTGAGATGGAATCTCCTTGTAGGTGGGCTTTGGTTTGGTTTTGGTTTGGATTTGAAGTACTGGGACTTTAACCCTGGGCCTTTACACAATCTCGGTTTGGATTTACATTTTCCTTTAGCTAACTATGTTGAACATTTGTGGATTCCAGAGCTAAGAATCCTAATTTCAAAGATAGGGGCAGTGTCATGCTCATCTTCCTGTTATCCAGCTGGCAAATAACTTGTTCTTTTTACTGTCACCTGTAACTAATGACCAGTTGCAGTGGTCAGATGGTTTAGATTTCATGTTGTAATTTCAAAATGTGCATGGTGTTTGTATGTGGATATATGTGAGTGTATAAGGGAGTTAGTAACTATACATATTAATTGACCTCAGATTTCATTAAGGACTGTAAAATATTATTGGAAATGTACTTATGTAAATTCTGTGAAGTATCGTCCAAGTAACCCTACATTAAACCACTATAACATAGTTCCTGTAGCTGTTTATTGAAAACCTCCTTGCCATATTTTATTTTCCTAAGAGAAAATTATAGACAGCATACTTCTAGATAAGGCTCCAAAAATAGGTAAAATTAGATGAGTTTTAAAAAATCAGAACCACATTTGCATGTAAATTCACTTTTTTTAAGATAACCTGTAACATTGATTTTTTTTTTTTTCACTTTAAGCTACAACAGTAATATGTAGGCTGCAGAATTTAGCTCAGTGGTAGAGTACACGCATAACATGCACAATGCCCTGGGTTCTTTTCCCAACAGCATGCATGCACACACATTAATACCCAAAACATTTGATGTTTCTTAGGCAAAAGTGATTAAGTGAAAGTATTTTATAGTAATTTTGCCACATATCCACAGTTCATTTTGTTTTGATTATTGATAGGGTATCATTCAGCCAGTTCTATTGTTACTTTCCCAGTCTATCCGGAGCTGGGCCCAGACCCTGTAGCATATGCTTCAGGGAGGTTGTGTTTTCCTGCAAGATTTGTTGTTCTCAGAACATTTCCATTCCATTTCCTCTGGGTGAGAATGTGTGTATGCTTTGATGGTGTTTCACATTTGTTGTATGAATGCGAAATTGTCTTTTGATGAGGTTGAACATTAATTGTTAGGCTAAAACTAAGAAATTTCTTCTGCTTTTTTCCTTTACTCACCTCCAACTCTTAAGTAGTACAGGAAATACACAAGGGAAAAGGCTGGAGCAGATAGCATATTATCAATCACTTTCTTACAGATAAACTAGAATATGTAATTTTTTAATAGAAGTTAGATTGGTAAGAAGTCTTTTGAAACATGCCTGTATAGCAGTGTTGCCACGGAAATAGCATCATTTTACAAAAATCTTTCACTGCTACAGGACTCAGTATACTAGATTTTTATTTCATTGTTGTTGTTTAATATGTTGCTTAGTTACCAGAGGAACTTTTTTCGGGGTGGTACTGGGGATTGAAGCCCTTGTGCCTGCAAGGCACTGGAACCACTGAGTTAAATCCCCGGCCCATCCAGAGAAACTTTATGTTCATATGTTAAAGTAAATGCTAGATTTTATTCAGTTACTTAATCCCTGAGTAGAATCATTAAGTCTTTTAAGTAACTAAGTATAGTGATACTGTTGTCTATAAGAAATACTTGAATATTTTGAGAATGGAAATGAAAACTGATACAAAATAGCATAATATATTTATGACGTTATTGGGGAATTAATTTCATTGACCTCTACTTGTTCACGTTTGTATAGGTAATGCTGTGGTTCAGTTTGTCTTTGTTAAAACTTTTCAATGAAGTTAAATTACCAGTTTTTATGTTTCTTTTATTAAAAGTGAATTTATTATAGTATTTGGTAATTTATAGGCATCTTGACCTAATTGATGTACTTGAAGGAATTCTAGGATCAGGAAACAAAATACAGTTGATATTCACTTCTGAAAACATTGTGGATTTTTTGGTTTTTTTAAGACAGAGTCTCACTGTGTAGTTGAGACTGACCTGGAACTTACTACATAGCCCAGGCTGGTCTCAAACTCACAGCAATCCTCCTGCCTCTGCCTCCCAAGTGCTGGGATTCTAGGCATGTGCCACCACACCCAGCTCAAACATTGTGTTTTGACACATTCCCAATGTTAGGATTTGTATCTTAGAGTGATTTCTTTACAAATGTAAGCATTCTGAAAAAGTGGTTATCACACATGCACACATATATTTTTGGGGTCACCAACAGGGGCAATATTATGGGCCTACAACCTCTGCAGGAGCCACTTTTCTTGCTTCTCCTCTTACTAACCTGAAATTCTTTTCATTTTTTTTGGTACCAGAAATCAAACTCAGGCCCTCGCTCTTGCAAGGCAAGCGGCAGAACCACTGAGCTAAATCCCCAGCCCTAACCTGAAATTCTTAATAATTATTTTCATAGGGCTGAAGATTTAGCTCAGTGGTTCTGCCTTCTGTGTTGCAAGTGCACGGCCCAAGTTTGATCCCCAGTACCAAAAATAATAATCATCATAATAATTTTTTCATAAAGTCTTCTGCAAATTTTCCTTTTGTCTTGGGTCCTATAAATTCTCTCAGCAGTCCTGATCCCCAAAAACTAGTTACCATAAACTGTAACGCAAGCGAACAGTGATTGCTCTCTACTTACCAAGTCTGTGATCCTGTAAATTCTTCAGGTATAGAAGGAATCTCTGTATACAGACTTATTTAAATGTATCTTAAGAAATACAAATATAGCTGACTTTGTAGTAAGTGTTTTAAATGTTGTCTTACAATAAAGAACTTAAGATTTGCCTCTTAATCAAAATTCTGTCATTTTAAAATATAAAAGTACTTGCTTAAAATATAAAAACAGCTTATTACATCAAATAAATCAAACTCAAAGCAGGATTTAACGTGTTTCTCCGTTACAGGTTATCAAGTTATGCCCAACCAGCAGCAAAACTACCAAGGAATAGTTGGAGTTCAGCAGCCCCAGAGTCAGAGCCTAGTTGGAGGCCAGCCTAACAGCACTGGAAATCAGATTCAGGGAGTGGTCATCCCCTATCCTTCAGTGCCATCATATCAGGTATCCTGTTTCTTTTAACCTGCTTTGGGTAGAGACAGTTTTGGATAAATTGAATATATAACTACAATTTCACTGTTCTGTTAATATAAGGGAGTTGTTTCTTTTTTTTTTTTTTTTTTTTTTTTTTTTTGGTACTAGGGATCAAACTCGGGTCCTTGTGCTTGTAAGGCAGGCGCCGGAACCACTGAGCTAAATCCCAGGCCCAAAGGGAGATGTTTCTGTCCATGCAACTTCAGAGTCTAAAGAATTTGGCTAGTTTAAATGGCTTTATTTTTTCTTCATTTTATTGCTTTATTTACTTGCCTTATTAATATTTAGAATATCTGAATCACATTGATATTGACAAATTTTGCCTGGCACTATGTTTCTAACTTTACAGGTATATAAGAAAGTATTTTACTCTGTTCTTCAGTTCCTTAGAAAGTCTCTTTCTGGGGTAAGAGGAATAGAAAGGGAAATGAAAGTGAAGGATAGGTATATTTAAAATGGTGAAATACATATAGAACAAAACCATAGATTTGCTTTCTACGTAAGTATGTGCATCTTCTCATCCCGGTAGTAATGTTTTTCTCCCATCTCAGTCCCAACAAATGGATAATGTTGTACATTTAAAATATCATAGATCAAAGTCAGGTGTGGTGGCACACGCCTGTAATCCCAGCACTGGGGAGGCTGAAGCAGGAGGATTGAAGAGAGTTCAAGGGCAGCATGGGCTAACTAGTGAGTGCAGGGTTAAACTGAACTACAAAGGGAGACCCTGCCAAAAAAAAAAGATAGAGAGCACATGCCTGTAATCCCAGCACTCGGGAAGCTGAGACAGGAGGATCGCTGTGAGTTCAAGACCAGCCTGGGCTACATAGTGAGTTCCAGGTCAGTGTCAACTACATAGTGAGACCCTGTCTCAAAAAACAAACAAAAAAAAAATCATAGATCATAAGTGAAGTTTTTAAAGCAGATATTCATTTTTCCTTAAATAAACATGTCTTTACTACACTATTTAACATTTTCAGGGAGTGGTTTTACCATCTTTCATCTTTAGGGAATTACTTTTACATAGGCTTGTGGTTTTGTTGTGTTGTTGTTGTTGTATGGGGATTGAACTCGGGACCTTGTGCTTGGGAGACAGGCGGCAGAAACACTGAGCTAAATCCCTGGCCTCATTGACTTGTTTTATTAGCCCCATGAGGTTTTTGTTTTGTTGAGGGATTTTGTTGTTTCTTTTTTTGTTTGTATTCTTTGTTCTGTTTTGCTTTTTCAATACTAGGAACTGAATCTGGGATCTTCACATTGAGCTAGATCCCCACCACTTTTTTTATTTTTGCTTTTCAAATAGGGTTTCAGTTGCCGAGTTGCCCAGTCTGGGCTGGAACTTGTGTCCTTCCCTCCAGAGCCTCCCAGAGTGCTGACGTTAGAGACCTGTGCCACAGACATGACTAATCGTAGGGTTTTTTTTTTACTTGTTTATAACTAAGACTAATATTAAGAAAGAAGTCAAAAGACCATTTTCATTCATTCAACAGAAGAAAAATTATTTGGGAAGGTAGAATATACCTGCATTTTCTCTAAACACATGTAAACGTATTAGTGATAGTAGACAAACCAATAACTCTGGAGATCATGAAATAAAGCGGCGAACAAGTTAAATACTTGACACTAAAGGAATAAAAATAAAGAAATAATCTAATAATGTCTTCTAAGAAGATAAAATCTTTAGCTAGCTCTTAAAGGAAAAATGTAGACATAAATTAAGATATTCTGGGGTATAAGTAAATATCTAAACGTATTCTATATAATTCCAGAAAATTAAAATATGAAATGTCAAATTTTGGGGCTAGGGTGCCACCACCTGCCTTGCAAGTGCAGGGTCCCAGGTTTGGTCCCTGGTACCAACAAAAAGAAAGAAAAAAATGTAAAACTTTCAAAGGTTATTGAGTGCTAAGTGTCTAATTTTGTTTTCTTTTCTTTTCTTTTTTTTTTTTTTTTTTTTTTTTTTTTTTTGTACAAGGCAGATGGCCAGAACCACTCAATAACTCAGCCCTATGTGTCTAGTTTTTTGTTTTTTGTTTTTGTTTTTTTGAGACAGAGTCTCACTAAGTAGTTGAGACTGACCTGGAACTCACTATGTAGTCCAGGCTGGTCTCGAACTCACAGTAATCCTGCCTCAGCCTCCCGAGTGCTGGGATTACAGGCGTGCGCCACCACGCCTGGCCCTATGTGTCTAGTTTTGAAGCCCCTTGATAATCAAAAGCAACTGTAAGAGATACATCATGAAACTAGGTTTGGCATCTTCCCTTTTTCTCACATTCCCCATGCTTTTTATTCCTTATTCTCCATGCTTCAGCCTAGGCGTGTGAGCTGCCTTTCCCTTCCTTCTTCCACAGATGGACATTACACATGATCCAGCACTGAGTCAGAACATTGCCTTCTCGAGAACTTTGGTTTTGAGCATTTGTTGGATGCCCAGGCAATCTGCTAGATGCTAGAGATTAAGATAAGTAAGACCTGGGCCAGAGATTTAGCTCAGTAGTCCCACCTGCCTTGCAAGCTCAAGGGTCCTGAATTTGATTCCCAGTACAAAAAAAAAAGATAAGTAAGACCTGTCCTTATCCTTTAGATTTTCTCACAGTTGAGAAAAATGTCATTTTACAATAAATATAGCTTTGTTGCTAGATTTATTTTTAATGGAATTAGACACTGAAAATATTCCAGAGCTAAGATAGTTGTTATAATTCCTACAGCTTGCTTTTTTACAAGTTATTAAAATCTTTGTAATAGCTCACGTAATCCTCACACTGAATAAATGATTATAGAGTATCTCAGGCAGCAGTGCACGGCAGCCTGCTAGTATTCTCCCTACTATATTTGTTAGACAAGTGAGCGTGAAAAACTGTCATCTAAAAATTAAGCTGGAAAAGTCGTCTGTTCTTAGTAATGTATTCTGTGGCTCTGCATCTTTTGGTACTAAAATGCTTTCTTTACCTAGTTAAAAATGTATTCCAGGAACAGGGATTTAGCTCAGTGGTAGTACCGCTGCCTGCCTTTCAAGGACAAGGGCCTGAGTTTGATCCCTGGTACCAAAAAAAAAAAAAAATTTATTCCAGGGCTGGGGTTATAGCTCAGTGGCACACCTGTCTGGTAAGTACAAGGTCCCAAGTTTAATTCTGGGTACAGGGTGGGGGTTGAGTCTCAAGGCATTGTGTGTGCCGCAAAATGTGAAAATTTTATTACTGTTGTTTAAATCATCTAAATTAGTCTATTTCACTTTTCTCAGCTATGCCTTTCATATATACTTATACAATTAATAATCTCAGAATACTATAATTCTGCTGTAGACAAAAACAGAAATATGTTATATTACTCAAAGTTTGATAAGTCAGACCAGTACATTTCTATTATAATGAATCAATGGGAAAGAAATTAACAGGTTACTTTTTGTTTGTTTGTTTTTTGAGACAGGGTCTTACTATGTAGTTGAGACTGACAGTGGAACTCATTATGTAGCCCAGGCTGGTCTCACTGTGATCCTCCTGCCTCAGCCTCATGAGTGCTGGGATTACAGGCATGCATCACCATGCACAGCTCAGAAACATGTTATATAAGCAAGATTTAGAAGTTAATTGACTTGGTTTTTGAGTTACTGGGATTGAACCCAGGGCCCTCACAATGAACTGTATTTCACACCTATTTTGTTTTGTTTTGTTTTGTTTTGTTTTGTTTTGTTTTCAGTTTGAAACAAGGTCTTCTTGAATGGCTGAGTTGCGCAGGAGAGACTCATTGTTGCATACTCCTGCCTCAGCCTCCCAGAATGCAGAAGTTAATCATTAACTTTTAAATCACAGCCAGGGAGAGAGAACAGGGAAGTTGTTAAAGAGCTGAGGCTCTGAAGCCAAACTGCATGAGTTGAAATCCTGATTTCTTTACTAGCTGTACAACTTTAGGCAAGTTACTTAATCCCAGTTTATCTATTTATAAAAGAGATAAGAAAAACACCTTTGTAGGTTAGGACACCTTAATGAGATAATGCACTTAAAGCACTTAAAACAGAAACTGATACATGGCAGTAAGTACTCAGTAATGGTAACCTTCATTATTATCTTTATTGGTAATAGTTTCATTGTAACTTCATATGTTGGCTTTATTTTTTAAAAATCCTGTAATCAACTATAATATTATGGTATATTTTTAAATTGCAAATGTCCTATATTATTGTCATTTTACAAACTAGAGAACTGAAGGATCCATTATGTCCATATGCTTTAGTATAGGTGATATAGAAAAAAGAATTAAAAGATTCTCTGAATGCCTCCTGTGCTAGATCTCTAGATGTACTATCCCCCAACAGTCATAATATCTCCTTTCTCTACTGGAGGTAGTATTTCCAGTTTTTCAGGTGAGGAGCCAGGGACCTCAGGATAGTTAAACCATTTGCCCAATGTCACATGGATAATAAAGTGATGGAACTGGTGTCTCATCTATCTGAAGCTCCAAAGTTCTCACTTACTCTGTGTTCCAGCGTGTACCCCCCTTGAGCCTTCCTTGGCTCTGCCTGACATAAACTGTGTGTCTCTTCCCATGTCAAATGATCATCCGTGTGTGGAAATTTTCTTTTTTAAAATAACTTTCTTGGGATATGTATCCAGCCTGCTGTGCAACTGATAAGTGTTAGCCAAAAGCAATAACTGACTCAAGGAAACAGAACGTAGTAGTGGTACTGAGGCAAACTTACTAGGAAAAGACAGTGTTACCTTTTCCTTACTGTTCATATTTTAAAAGTTTATGAGGCTGGAGACATGAACATCTGCAAGATTTAGATGTCTTTGAATTGTCTTTCAACTTTTAGGTTTCACTGCCTCAAGGTTCACAAGGAGTGGCCCATCAGACTTGCCAACAGCCTGTTATGTTCTCTAGTCAGTCTAATCCAGGATCTATGCCCACAGCAGGAATGCCAGTTTACTACAGTGTCATTTCACCTGGCCAACAAAATAATTTAAGGTGAGTATGACCAAGAAACCTAATCCTCAGCTTCTCATTGTTCACTGGGATTATGGTCTATTGCTAGTTTAAATTACAATCTGTTACTAGTTTTAAAGTTGACTAAAGTGCTGAAGTTGATAAATGACTAAAACAGTTTTCTGATGTAGAAAAAACATAATTGTCTTTTTCTAGTATTTTTAAATAAAATCCATATAAACTAAGCATTCCATATGTAAATTAAAAATTGTCAAGTCCCACCTTTGCCTAAAAATTAGGCAAGCTGGGCCGGATATTTAACTCAGTGGCACCACCACCTGACTTGCAAGTGCAAGGTCCTGAGTTTGATCCCTGGTACCAAACAAACAAACAAACAAAAAAACTGAAAATTAGTTTTAGTCACCTAAGTTTAGATTGATTATCCATGGGCCTTGAACTTTAAAGCATTTATTTAATATTTAAAGCTTTTGTGGTTTGGGGAGATTGTATTTACAGTATATAACCTAATATGAAATATCTTGCTGGAAATTTTTAGGTTCTGGAGTGCTCGTTTTTCAATAAGGGGAGAGGGGCATATAAGAGAAATAAACCATAGTACCTCTGTATTAAAGCAAATTATATAGTATTCAATCAGCTATTTAAACTTGGAAGAGCAGAATCTTTTCTGACAAACCTAATGTGCTAAAAATAGCTTTTTTTTAAGGTCTAATATGTATAGGCCATTCTTTCATAAATCTAGATTTAATAGCTTATATAAATTATGTTTTATCTGACATATTCCAGTGTACTTACATGAACAACAGAAGTTGATCTAAATACCCAGGCTCCTGGAATAGAATTCCTGCCCCAGAGTAAGAACTTGGTAAATCCATATTGAATGAACATATTTCTTCATTGCCATAGGCTAGCTTACACATATATATCTTTCTTTACACATGTGTAATGAATTATTGACTCTAATTGTATTTTGTCTATGAGGCCTATATACTTTTAAATTTTTTCAGTTTTGTTTATTTTTTTGAGACAGGCCCTGAACTCACTTTGTAACCCAGGTTGGCCTAGAACTCATGGCAGCCTTCTGCCTTTGCCTGCCAAATACTGGGATTACAGGCATGCATCACCATGCCCAGCTGGTAACATTGTTTTTAAATTATAAGCAATGTTGGCATAATTATAAGCAGTGTTGGCATAAAAGGAAAGCTGAATATGATGTCTCACTCCCCGTGCTCCCAAGAACCAGTATTCACATGCTGTCACACTGGCCTTCCTGACTATATAGTACATGAATAAATACATACATGTAGGAATTAGGTGGTAAATTTTAGTGAAATAAACATTATCTTACACTTTTCCCTGAATACTATATCATGAAATTCAGATTAATAATCATTAGTCTAAAACACTGGGGTTTTTTCCCTAAATTTCACATACATAATTTCACATAAATGAGATGTCATACAGGCAGGTTTTGATACCTCTTCTCTCCCCCTCCTGCCACCTGGGCAGTTTCCCACGTACATATATAATAGACAGCTAACTCATGTTTCTTTCCTAGTTGTATCTTTCCTCACTTCTCTTCTCGTACTTAATCATATTCTAACACATATATGATGTGGAACGTGAGCCATATTGATTAGTAGATACACGTGAAATTGAGTATATAAATGATTTTACATACAAAATGTCTGCAGTTCATTCTTTGTTATGTCACCATATGAATATGCCTGCCACATGAGAGAATTTAATCCATTCATATTTAGTATTATAGGTGATAGGCTGGATTTTTTTTTTTTTTTGCCAGCCTGCATTCATTTATTTCATCATACAATACTTTACAACTGCATGATTAATTGTTCCCTTCAGTCATATCTTTTCTCAGACATAATGCTAATATATCTGAGAAAGTTTCTAGATATGTGTCATGTTTAAGGCCCTTTCCCCCATAGAATCTCACTGATTTGATTATGCAGGCATAGATTGTTCTAAATAAGCAAATATTTCAGATAAGTGTATCTTATACTTTTAGGCATTAGTTATTGGCTGGCATTATTTGGTTAGGAGAAATGTGGGCTTTATCATCAAACACCTGCCTTCAAACTTAGGGTACTTTGGACCAATTGATTATTCTCTCTGTAACTTCTCATAAAAATTGTAGTGGGCCGGGGATGTAGCTCAGTGGCTCTGCACCTGCCTAGCAAGTGCAAGGTTCTGCATTCTATCCCCAGTACAAAAAAAAAGAAAAAGAATTATATTTTTCAATACTGATATATGGCATTAAATAACTAGAGAATTGAGGTCTCTTTCCTTGCTATTAGGTATGGCCAGCACAGCTGCTAAAGGCTGTAAGTCAAATTCTGGATCTAGAGGATTCTTATAGGAAAGATTGTGGCAGGCAAAAACCAAGGATGAAGAAGTGGGACTACTCAAATGTTTGTGTACAGGAAAAAAAACAACAGTGCAAAGGCAGCTTGCAGAATGGGAAAAAATATTTGCAAACCCTGTTTTGGATGAGCTAATATCCCAAATACAGAAGGACTTCTTATAATTCAGTAGCAAATAATCAGTATTTAAAATGAGTGAAAGTTTTACATAGAACTTTCTCCAGAGAAGATTTATAAATCGCCAATAGATACATGAAAAAATGCTTAAAATCAGTAATAATCAGAGAAATACAAATTAAAACCAAATCACACTTATTAGCATGGCTATTATCAGAACAGTGAAAAATAGCAAATGTTGGTGAGGATGTAAAGAAACCCTTGCACACACTACTGGTGGGAAAGCTAATTGGTCCAGCAAGTATAGGAAACAGTATGGAAGATCCCCCAAAATTAAAAGTAGAACTACAGTATGATCCATAAATCCCAGATATTTTTTATTATTATCCCAAGAATTGAAAGCAGGATCTACAAGAAACAGTTGCACTCCCATGTTCATTACCAACAATAGGCAAGATATGGAAACAATCTAAGTATTCATCCATGGATGAATGGATAAAGACAATATGTATACATGCAATAGAGCCTTATTCAGGCTTAAAAATTAAGGAAATTCTACAATGTGTGAAATAACTGAACATTGAGGACATTGTGCTAAGTAAAATGTCAATCACGAAAGGATAAATATTGCATGATTGCACTTGTATGAAACATCTAAACTAGTCAAACTCAGAAAAGGATGGGTAATGGATAATTGCTCATCAGTGGATCTACAGTTTCAGTTGTACAAGGTGATTAAGTTCTATCAACTGTCCAACACTGTGACTATAGTTAATACTGTATCATACACTTAAGTTTTTATTAAAAGAATAAATTTCGGGCCAGGGATTTAACTCAATAGTTCTGCCTCCTGCCTCGCAAGTGCATGGACCGGAGTTCAATCCCTGCTATCAAAAAAAAAAAAAGAATAAATTTCATTATATGCTCTTACCACAGTTTTTAAAAAGTTGTCATTGTTTTCAAGGAACCTCTACATCTGTCTTACTAAGCTATATGTCTTTGGTACAGTATTTACCTCTAAAAAGCTCTGTTCCAGACCAAATTGTGACTGGATACTTCTTCCCCAGAAGTAAATGTGAAATCTGGAAGGAACCATAGAATACCATTAGTTTGTCTTTAAATATTTTTATTTTGAGTATTAGTCCCAAAGACAAGGCATAGTAGGATGTTAATTTATTAGTGTGACTTTTTCCCCTCGATTTACTTGTGTTTTTTCTGTGTAGCCTAAATTTATATCATTGTTTTTCTCTGCTTTTCCAACCCAGGACTTCATCAACATACTTTTTTGGGTTTTAGGTAAATTTAATCACTTTGTATACCTCACTGAATCTTAAGTCTGCATTTTTATCAGAACACTTAACTGAAAAATGAAAAATATGTTCGTTCTTCAGCATTAGTTTTTTAAAAGTTTGTGCAGTGGCTGGGTGTGATGATGCACACCTGTAATCCCAGCACTTGGGAGGCTGAGGCAGGAGGATCACTGCACATTCAGGACCAGCCTGGGCTACATAGTGAGTTCCAGGGCAGTCTGAACTACATAGTGAGACCCTATCTAAAAAATAAATGAATAAATAAAATGGTGTATTAAGAAAATTATTGTTATTTGTGGATTCTGTATTTGTAAAACTGCATCATTTTCTTATTCAACATTCACAGACACATTTAGAGTAGCAAAAACTGAGTTATCAGACAAGCATGTTTCCCGCTGAGGTTAAATAATGCACACTTTGCCTCCCTTACTTCTCTTTGGAAGCATGCATCAATCCACAGCTTGTTTAGTGCTATTTTGTCATTTTGTGATTTTTGTTGTGATTTCATCATTTAAAATGGTCCTCACAAATAATGCTGAAGTTCCATCTTGTGTTCCTCAGTAGGATGCAGCTCTGAAGTGTATTCAGGCATGAGTTAAATTACTGTTGCCATCATTGCAGTATTAATGAGTCAACAGTGTGTATGTTAGGCTACTCTAAACAGTGCCAACATGGCTTCCAAAATTCATGATAAAATAGGAAAAAAAAACGAAAGGTGGCTAAAATTTGTGAATTCATGAGATAATGACTAGTATGTTTTTGTTTTGTTTTGTTGTTGTTGTTTTTGATTTCTTGAGATAAGTTTTGCTGTATAGTTCTGGCTGACCTTGACCTCACTATATAGCCCTGCTGGCCTTGAATTCATGGCAGTCCTCCTGCTTAAGCCTCCCAAGTGCTAAGATCATAGGCATGCCCCACCACACCTGGCAAAGACTGGTTTTTAAAAAGTATAGTGCAGTGTTACTCGGAGACTGAAAGCCAAACAAAGTAATGACCATGTTACCCAGAATCAAGAAAACATTAAGCTGTCCTCAAATGGTGTTTTGTTATTTTTTAAAACTGCATGTAATTATGTGAAGTACATATTGAGATATTTTTCGAAGCCGGGCGTGGTGGCACACACCTCTAATCCCAGCACTTGGCAGGCTGAGGCAGGAGGATCACTGCAAGTTCGAGACCAGCCTGGGCTATGTAGTGAGTTCCACGTCAGTCT